CTGACCTCGTGATCCACCTACCTCGGCCTCCAAAGTGCTGGGATTGCAGGAGTGAGCCACCATGCACGGTCATTGCTTATATTCTTAAGTAGTGATAATAACATTCATTCCCAAATATGGTTTCAGTTCTCAATAAACTCATTTATTGCTATTTTTTAAAAAACATAGCATAATACTAAGCAAAACGTATGTATGGACCAGCCCAAATTTGTAAGCTGGCCTTCAGTTCATGATTCTTGAGTCTGTTCTCACCAGCTTGTTTTACAGAAGAAACTAAAACATAAACCAAGGTCATATTGCTTATCAGGGGTAAAGCTAGAACTCAGGTCTCCTGATTCCCCATTCGTTGCTGCTGCTTATTGAAAAAAAAAGAAAAACTGCCCAACTGACTTAAATAAGAAAGAAGGGTTATGGTTTTGCCTGGCAATTATCTCCTGTTATCTAACCTTGACTGTTTGTTTTTAGAACATAGACTTGAGATTTGGCTTCTCTCTTTTTGTAAGATTATAAGGATAAGAGATTCATCCTTAAAGTTCTGGTAGAAATCCAGGTCTAGGGATGGTTATATTTCTTTGAATGATAAAAAATTATAGACTGGACACAGTGGCTCACACCTGTAATCCCAGCACTTTGGGAGGTCAAGGCTGACAGATCATTTGAGGCTAGAAGTTCGAGACCAGCTTGGCCAATTTAGTGAAATCCCGTCTCTACTAAAAATATAACAATTAGCTGGACCTGGTGGTGTGTGCCCATAATCCCAGCTACTTGGGAGGCTGAGGCATGAGAATCACTTGAACTTGGGAGGCAGAGGTTGCAGTGAGTCTAGATCGTGCCATTGTACTCCAGCCTGAGCAACAGAGTGAGACTGTCTCAAAAAAAAAAAAAAAGGAAAAAAAAAAGGTAATTGTAGAGTTCAGGCAAGTTATAAGCATAAAACTTAAGATGAGGCAGGACTAGAAAAATGAACTCCTTGGTTCTATTTGGTCCCCAAGTGGCATTTCACTGCCACTAAAAATTACTGTTGTGTGTGGGCTTTTAACATTTATTTTTAAAATTTAACTCTTTTCTCTAGGTCCAAGCACTAAGCAAGCAGCATAGATGTACAGACTTGCCAACTATGGGGGATGTGTTGCTAAGTAGCTGTGACAGAGCCTTTGTAAGATGCTTTGCTATAGAGTTATTACTAGATTTTGCTCTCAGGTCAAATTGGGAAATAAGGATTTGTGCAGTTTTATTTTATGTATGTTTGGTTAGCATGCTTAATTTAAAAGCCTAATAAACCTGAGCTGACTTTTGAAAAACCATTTCTGTACTAGCCAAGATTCACACAGCAAACATCAGTTGAGGAGAGAAGACTTTTTTTTTTTTTTTTTGAGACGGAGTTTCGCTCTTGTTACCCAGGCTGGAGTGCAATGGCGTGATCTCGGCTCACCGCAACCTCCGCCTCCTGGGTTCAGGCAATTCTCCTGCCTCAGCCTCCTGAGTAGCTGGGATTACAGGCACGCGCCACCATGCCCAGCTAATTTTTTGTAGTTTTAGTAGAGACGGGGTTTCACCGTGTTGACCAGGATGGTCTCGATCTCTTGACCTCGTGATCCACCCACCTCGGCCTCCCAAAGTGCTGGGATTACAGGCATGAGCCACCGCGCCCGGCCGAGAGAAGACTTTTAGAAAGCACCAGAAGAAATTAGAATGACTCTTATAGCTAGATTTGAATAGTCTTCCTACCATTCCAGCTTATTCTCTTCTTTTCTTTTTTACCTTTCTCCACTACTCCTGTTTGTTTATGTATTTTTCCATTCAGACCAAACGGAAGCAGAAGAGAAAGAAATGATCTTACTGAATTCCTTACGGCATAGAATTTGAGTCCTTCTGGACCTTTTCTTAACCCCTTTGAATCATACCGTTTTCCTAAAGAACTTGAAAATTTTATAAACTAATCACTCATTAAGTGGTACAAAACTGAGGCCTTGTATGTATTTTTTTCCTTTCACAGGTAAAATGTTGCTAGAACAAATACTTATCACTTTGAAATTGATGCAGGCATCTGGAATGAAAGAGTTGAAACTAGTCGGGTTTTTTGTTTGTTTGTTTGTTTGTTTTTGAGATTAAGTCTAGCTCATCACCTAGGCTGGAGTGCAGTGGCGCAATCTCACCTCACTGCAACCACCGCCTCCTGGGTTCAAATGATTCCCCTGCCTCAGTCTCCTGAGTAGCTGAAATTACAGGTACCCACCTCCATGCCCAGCTAATTTTTGTATTTTCGTAGAGACAGGGTTTCACCATGATGGCCAGGCTAGTCTTGAACTCCAGAACTCATGATCCGCTCTCCTTGGCCTCCCAAAGTGCTGGGATTACAAGTGTGAGCCACCACGCCTGGCCAAAACGAGTAATTTTTAAAACGTATGCTAGATGTTGACTAGTAAAGGTTTTGCTGTTATCTATGCCTAGGTAATGCTCTAGACTAGATGACAAATAGAGTCCACACCTGAGTGTTGATTTTGACTTAAACAATTTATATAGAAAGTTAAAGCTATTGGCTAAAATTAATTGTGAGTTTATCTCTATATTTATAGATCTAGCCACATAATTTAGCATCATATTATATAATGGCATTGATTTTACTTTTAGAAAAGTGTGTCTTTTAGCTAGAATATGTACTCTTTGTAGTCAAGGACCATGCCTTCTAAATCTTTCAGAGATTAATAAATACTCACTTGTATATTTAGTAAGTATTTGGGCATTTCTTTATTGTCTTTATTCAGTTTAGGTGGTAATAATTATTGTGTGTCAGGAACTTTGTATCATCTCATTTAATTCTCCCAAGGATATTTCAAGATAATATTATACCCATTGTATAGAAGAGGAAACAGAAGCTCTACAAAGTGAAGAACTTTTATAAGGTCACATACTTAGTAAGTCACAGAACTAGGACTCTAAACCTAGGCCTGTTTCACTGATTATAGCTCCTACTCTTACCTCTACATCAAGATCTCTTGAGAGTTTTGGAATTGTCGTTAGAAGTCTTGACAAACTATTCTCAGCCTCATTTTTAGTAAATATGAAACTTACTTGTTCTGTTGTTCCAGAAGAACTCTTAATGTTTGTTTTTTGTTTGTTTTTGATTTTTTTGTTTGTTTGTTTGTTTTTGAGACAGAGTCTCATTCCGTCACCAGGCGCCAGGCTGGAGTACAGTGGCACGACCTTGGCTCACTGCAACCTCCGCCTCCCAGGTTCAAGCAATTCTCCTGCCTCAGCCTCCTGAGTACCTGGGACTATAGGCACACGCCACCATGCCCAGCTAATTTTTTTGTATTTTTAGTAGAGACGGGGTTTCACCATGTTGACCAGGATGGTCTTGATCTCTTGACCTCGTGATCTGCCCGCCTTGGCCTCCCAAAGTGCTGGGATTACACACGTGAGCCACCACGCCCAACAAAAGCTCTTAATGTTTAAATCAGGATCATAGACTCCTGTCCCCCTCTTCTAAGACCTTAGACTAATAGGCGCAGTATAACATAGTGGTTAAGAGTGTGTATCAGGGGCCGGGCGCGGTGGCTCAAGCCTGTAATCCCAGCACTTTGGGAGGCCAAGGTGGGTGGATCACGAGGTCAAGAGATCGAGACCATCCTGGTCAACATGGTGAAACCCCGTCTCTACTAAAACTACAAAAAATTAGCTGGGCATGGTGGCACGTGCCTGTAATCCCAGCTACTCAGGAGGCTGAGGCAGGAGAATTGCCTGAACCCGGGAGGCGGAGGTTGCGGTGAGCCGAGATCGCGCCATTGCACTCCAGCCTGGGTAACAAGAGCGAAACTCCGTC